GGACTGCGGCTCTCTAGGACCGAACTTGCCTACCCCTGGCCTAGAGTAAAGTGTCACATGGTTAGGTGGCACATGATCGTAATCTATTAGTAAGGGGGGAACTAGTTTTCATTGTATCTTTGACTGTTGATGTTAGTCTGATTTTACGGTGCTGACTTGTAAGCCCAATCCACCTTATTTTTAATGATAGATTAGGTACGGCCATTTGTGTTTATAATGTCCGAGGCATCCGGTTATTTTAGCTGTGCAAAACAGTTTGTTATGCTGCTTGATGTTGCAAACTGTTATCATATTATTTAATTCATTATCACAAGCATAAACACACTGGTTTGTAGCGCAAATCTTTTACCGTTTATACTGTAGGCCTAATTTTTATTCTACTAGTTACCTTTATAGGCAAATGAATCAAAAGTCTCGCACATTCACAGAAATTTGGTTACTACCGTGTGGCAAAATAAGGTGGATAGATACAGCAAAAATATGATGATATTGGAACTTTACTTTGCAGAACAGAATTCATGACAATAGAGGCCTTTGAACTAGATGTTCAAACTAAATACAAACCCCTTCTAAAGAAAAAACATATTTGTGTAATTTGACTGTAAATCTTATGGTTGCTGAGATATCGCTCTTGTGACAACCCCATGTGACAACTAGCCTTTGCATCACATTCTGTTTTGTTCATATTGTTGTGAGTTCAATGTGCTCCTACAATGTCCTGTGTATGCATGCTGAGTTGTCATATGTTTTATAGTGTCTTGTGCTTACTGTCATGTGTGTGCTGTTTATATACTTTTATGCTTTATAATTGTCACAAAATGTCATTTTGCACATTTGCAATTCACTTATGTATTTACTTATGTAAATACAGGACAAGAACCTGCTGGAGAGCAGTTCTGTCATGTACATGCATACTTTAGTACTTCTGATAAAAAAGTTTGAATTCGTGTATGTAAAGGGATTTGTTTATGAGAGTTTATTTTTTTATTTTTTGTAAGTTATTTTGTTACGCTTATTTTATAAGTTTTCTCTTTTTTAATGACAAATATTTATTGACATTTGAAGTGCTTCTTGTCTTTGACAATGTGTTCATTGTGTCTGTTAGCATGGATATAGTGCTCTCTTTGAGCTAGTCCAACATTATTTCCATACCATTTTCATAATAGAAAATCCAGTGTAAATCTCTGAGGAGGGTTTCTCATTTTGTGACCATTGGATTGATGAAACATTAATGCAGTTAAATGATTGGATGAGGCTTTTTTTCTTTGAATAAGTAAGAATAGCTAAAAGGTTAGGTGTTGAGTATTTTAAACTGAAACCATTTACATGCTTAGTTTTATGCATGTAAAATGACCGTTAAAGGCATAGATGTTACTCGCAATTTAAATAATATGAGATCAAATGTTTAAAGTTTAACCATCTTCAATTGCCCATAGTTGTTTTCAGTAATTTTAGAAATACTTTTCAGACAAATTAGCTTTTTCAAATAAATGCATTTTCTAGAATTATAAAATATTTGTTCTTTGTAATATCTGTTCAAAAAAGATTATTGGAATTTTTTTATATATATTATTTCATTATTATTTTATTTATTTATTTATATATTCATTTATTTAGCGAAATTATTTTTGTGCATGTCTCTTGCTAAAAAGGTAACACGTTACAAAAAAAAAACTTAGTTAATTTATTTAATTTTAAACAAGGTACAAAGACAACTAATTCAAACAGATCACACAGTTCCCCCTTTTCTAGTTTACTAATTTCTACTAATTGTTTATTCAGTTTGCTATTTGGAAGAGGAATTGAAACAAACAAACAAGGCCTAAATGACAATAGAACACTGGTATGCCAAAATACAATCTGTATTTTTTTTCTACAACGTTATATAATCATGAGTCAGAACCCTGCTGTCAAGAAAGCTAGAATAATGTCAAAAGAATTTGTTACAATAATGCGGAGCTTCATCTGTTTAACTCAGAAATATTAGAGTTGAAATTAATGAGCCTAATTAACTCAAATAATAAAGGCTGTGAACATTATAAACCTAGTATTCAATTAAATGAGGCTAAATTGTGACAGTTCGCTGAGGCGAGTAGTGTGCCATTCAGAGCACAAAACTTTGAAGATGGATTCCCTCTATCTAGCTAAAAGAAGCCTGTTTGCAATATGCAATACTGCAAAAAGATGATATGTGATGCCTTTGCATCGCAAAAACGTCTTAATCTATTAAGTAAATATATAAAATACAAAACATCTACCCTTCTGTGATGAATCAACTTCTAAATCAAGAAATGTCAAACTGCACACCCATACAGCAAAATATAGATATCTTCACATATATTTAAACATATTTCCAAACAATACAAAAAATATGTATTTGCTAAATATATTTCAAAATA